TTTCAACTCCCAGAATTCCCCAGCCAGCCTGGCTGGGGAATTCTGGGAGTTGAAATCCACCCATCTTAAAGTTGCTGAGTATGAGAAACACTGGTCTAGTGGTCCATTAGTGGTGGAACTAATGCTGCTCAACATCCTATCCAAGATCCACAGGGTGGAATGAATTCCAGATCAAATCATAAGATGCCCTGTCAATTATCTCCGCAGACAATGCAGAGTCGAGACTCGAGTTAATTTGGGCAGTTTTCCTTATGCTGTTCAAAGCTCTCACAGCAGCCTATGGGAGATCTTGCCAAGTCTGAGTCTCGAAAAGGAAATAAGTCATCTGAACAGAGTTGCTGGGGCATAGCCCTCCAACGCAGGAAGAGTGTAATAAGTGAAGTGCTTTTTATTGTCACAGTAGGCTCAAAGATGTTTGAGCAAGTTCACTTCCATTTGTTCTCCATCAACATTCTAGGAATCTGCTTCCCCTCTCTGAGGCACTCAGTAAATCAAGGATCCCCTCAGGATCTTCAAGCAATGGGAGGCAATGGGAGAGCAACCTGGTCAAATACTGTGGCCCAGAGAGGAACTTAGATGCTTGGTAGAATTGTCTTTCAGATTGCTGGGGAGTCTGGCATTCATTTGGACCCATAAAGCATCGTAGTCTAAAGTTCCTGGCACATCCTCTGATTTATTTATTATTAGGCGGTCCTTCCAGAAGTTAAGAGTTAAGGTCCCTTGATGATGGTAGGCCAACATAAAATATTAAAAATACTTCTGTACCCAGAGAACTTCAGTGTCTTGGCTTTTTTGCAAAATGGTCTGAGTGTTCTCTTTCCAAGAGCACTTTGAGATGAGACCATAATTTTGAGCAAGCATTTCCCGATCTCTTGACTCATCTGGAATGTTTAAATTCATGTTCATCTCGTTAATTAGTGATCTGATCTGAAGTAGCCACTGACAGGAAAGTATGATCTGAAGCATCTTAGGTGAATACCCATGCCAAGGAGAACAAAGCTGAGAATGCTTCTCCTTTTTTTTTCCTTTGCTCGGCAGCTACTTGTCTGATTAGAACTCAAAAATATTTGAAACTATTTAGGCCTGCAGGGGTTGAATCCTTAGAATTTGAGCATAAACCCAGGATGAGTCTCTGTGTTCTGCCATTTGTAGCTGTGGTCACCATTTTCATTTCGGGCTAGTTCTGGCATGTTGCTGCAACAATGCTGGTGGTGACAGCAACGAGTATCATTCACTTGCAGGAACTGGCGACAGGTTTTGGAGTTTGCTGGCTGTTTGATTGAGGAGATGCTCCTTGAAGTTCACTAGGACTGGGACTTTGATGTTTTAAAATGAAAAAGCCAATTCTGAAGCTTTGTGAAGCTGATAGAAGCATCATTGCTGTGGAAAAAGTGGATAAAATAATTTGCTTTTTCTTTCTCTTTTTCATACCAGCTCATACAATCCACTGCTTTGCTGGATGGTCACAAATGAGTCATACAAAGCAAGAATCTCACCCAGTTTGGTAGGAAGGTGATAGTTGCTTAACATGTTTTGCATGAGAAACTGTTATAGGAATGAGGTCCCTATGAAATGCAGTCCCAACCATGTGTGGCAGTCAACTGTAATGGGAAATGGAACTAAGTGGGGCTGTCCATCTTGGCTTGTTTCATTATGGCAGAGTTCTTAATTAGCAGAGGCACTTAGTACTTGGTTGACCCTTGGCCTACAAACCATCCTCAGTGCGGAGAAAACCAAGATACCGTGGAACCTCGGGTTATGAATTTAATTCGTTCCGTGACTCTGG